TTTTCTAATACTTGGTAGAATTTACTGGTAGACATCTTGAGTTTTCTTTGTTAGGAAGGTTTTTAGTAATGGATTGGCCTTCTTTATTAAATATCAAACAATATTTTTTATTTCTTGTGTCATTTTAGGTAATTTTTACCCTAGGAATTGGTTCATCTAAATTTTCAGACTTATTAGTATGAAGTTGTTTATACTATTTCTTTATGACCTTTCTTTTTATTTTGAAATAACATCAAACCTATTTTTGTAGTTTTCAGTATGTAGATCTTTCAGTCTTTTGTATGTGAAACCCTAAGTCCTTCATATTTTTTGATGCTATCACAAGTTGAATTTTAAAAATTTCAGTTTCTAATAATTCATTCCTAGTATAGAGAAAAGGAGTTAACTTTTCAATATTGGTCTTATGTCTTTCAGCTTTGCTAGACTCACTAATTTGAGTCACTTTTGTGTAGATTCCTTGTTAGGGGGACATCTAAAGTAGACATTTTTCCGGGTCTACATGAGCCCTACTTCTCAGACTTGGCTTCTCTGAGATCTCAAATGCCCTGGGTATTCAGCCAAGTTTCTTCATTCTGGTTGGTTGTAAGAGCCCACCTTGTAAGAGCTTTGATAGTGGTTCTTTGGTTAATTTTGTGGCAACTCACTGTATTATGTGCAGCTTGGAATGTATGCAGTATCTAGTGGACCCCTGTAGACATCTCTTTCTCTGTGTGGTTCTCTCAAATTCCAGCTGCTGCTTCTTCCCCAAACTCTTGATTTTTATTCAGTGAGATTGCTAAATTCCTTGGTTTTTGTCTTCTTGAAGGGAAGAATTCTGTTGAGAGACCTGAGAGAGAATTAAAGCAGCAAAGGTTTTATTTAGCAAAGGGGAAGTATCCTCCAGAAATGTAGCAAAAAGGGTTGCTCTAAGGCAGATAGGCTGGTCTCTGGGTGGAGACTAGGGGGGGTCCACCACCCTCTTTTCTCTCCCACTGCTCATGTCTGTCTATCTCCCTACTCTAGCAAGATCACAGTTCTCTTATTCCCCTCCTTGCACCATGGCTCAGAAAGCATCTCCAAGTGAAAGCAAGTGAACCTCAGAAGGGCCTCGCCTGTTTCTTTCCCTTCTCTTAGGGATTATAGTCTTTGCTGTCTGTTGCCTAATGTTCGAAAACAGTTGTGTGTTAGATATTTTTTCCAGTTAAGTAGTTGCTTATAGTGGTAATGCTTGTCCGGTACCATTTAACTCTACCATGGTTGAATATTGCTTTTAACTCCATAGTTCATTTAAGTACCAGCTATCATGATATGAGTAGAGTCAACACATTTTAAGCAAATAATAATGTGTGATGTGATCTTGCATATATTAATTTTATGAGAATGACTTTTTAAAATTAATTTCAAATGAATACTTGCACACTGATGAATTATTAGTCCCTAAGAAAAGAATACTTACCCTAGTCCTATGACATTTTTATCATACCCATCTTCTTTTATCAAATATAATTTTTTTGATTGTTATTGGATATAATCGCTTTAGAGATTTTATTCTCCATTTCTTTTAAATCCTTTGTAGGTAAAATCTGTATTTTTTTTTTTAAGATTATTTATTTATTGAGAGAGAGAGAAAACACAAGTGTGGGGAGGGCTACAGGGAGAGAGAATCTAGACAGGCTCCTCACTGAGCATAGGATAGGGCACAATATGGAGCTTGATCTCACAACTGTGAGATCACTACCTGAGTCAAGACCAAGAGTTGGGCGCTTAACCGACTGAGCTCACCCAGGTGTGCCTTGAGTCTTTATTCTTATTATTAATTATTATTTGGATTGTACTAATACCAGTTTTAGAGATAGCCAGCATGTTTCACACATACTCATATAGTGAATATAATAATCATATGTTAAAAAATAATCATGTTTTATTCTACTGTATCATGTTCACTTTTATTGCAAAACAACTTGCTACATAGGCTTTCTGTATGGTGATTCAAACATCAGATGAATGATTGGCCTCGGTGACTTTTAAATGCCCTTTGACTTTGACATTCTGTCACTGCTCAGCTAATTCAGCAGGAATGTCTTGAGTGCCGCCATATTACATAATTACATATTACATATTACATAATTGTGTACATTACATAAGAAGAACTGCCTTTGCTTTTAAGGAGCTTAGAGTTTCATTGGCAAGATAATACCTGCATACATATAGTAGGTAATAATTAAAAATTGAGTATGATTGAGACACCTGGGTGGCTCAGTTTGTTAAGCATCTGTCTTTTGCTCAGGTCATGATCCCAGCGTCCTAGGATAGAGTCCCACTTCAAGCTCCCTGCTCAGCAGGGAGCCTGCTTCTCTCTCTGCCAGCTGCTCTCTCTCTCTCTCTCTCTGACAAATAAATAAACAAAATCTTTAATAAAAAAACATTGTGTATGAATAATTGCAGAATGAACAGCGCAAACCAGAAATGCCTGAGATGTTAAGTCAGAGAAAGATCTTGGCAGAAGTAGAATGACAAAGAGCACATCTTATCATCTTGTGTTGGGGAGTGTCAGTAAAGGAGAGCCACCCAAGCAGGAAAAGGAGTATACGTTGGCAGGAATGTTAGTAAAGAGACCAGCCTAGCAGAAGTAGAAAGCATTTGGTCTTGTTTTGAAAAGGTATTGCTAAGTTATGAAGTTTTGCAGTGTTCTCAGCAATGACATATCTTTAGCAGTGGTCCCCTTGGAGGTAGCATTGGCTGTCTGATTTGGAAGTTTTGCATCACTAAGGTGCCACCAGTAATTGTTTTAATGTTGCAGTAGAGTGAAAATTTTTCATGGAAAAAACTCACCATATCATGAGCTACATCTGTTTGAAAAACAGTATGAAGAGAACATCCATCTGAGATCTGTCTTCATAGACCACTAGATGTTGGAGAAATTCTCTTTGAGTTCTGTAGATCTTCTCTGTTTGAGACTAGTAGATTCTAGTCTTTTGTTTGTGTTTAACTTGAGGATCCAGGTCACCCTGAGGTGAAGATTCTTGTGTTGATATTGAAACCGGAATCCAGTATTCCATGCTGTCTTTTAATCTCTGTTCTGGTTTTACAACGATAACTCAAAGCACATTATTTTTGAAAATATTTTTTAATAAAATCAAATGTAGCATGTATGTATTAGACTAAAAAGTTTGAATAAATTTCCTACAAAGTGAGAAAGAAGCTCTATAGGGGCACCTGGGTGGCTCAGTTGGTTAAGCATCTGCCCTCAGATTATGATCTCAGGGTCCTGGGATAGAGCCCCATGTCAGGGCTCTCTGCTCAGTGGCTAGTCTGCCTTTCCCTTGCCCTCTGATCTTCCTCCCAACTTGTGCTGTCTGTCTCAAATAAATAAATAAAATCTTTTAAAAAAAGTATAATTTTTTTCCATTGACTATAAACTAAACAAATTATAGAATATTTCTATAATTATTGAGTATGAAATATGTATATAGTCATCTATATGTATGAAAATCCCAAATACTGAATTTCAGTGTGTTATAGTTTTCACTTGTTAAAATCATAGAACTGTACTTTAATATTATAGTGATAGTATTTTTTAGTTAATATAGTTAATAATAGTCTGTTGGAAAGAGTATTAAATAGAAGCTGAAAATGTGACTAATAGAAACTGAAAGCTTTATGTCTCCATTCACATTTTCTAAAATCATTGTTTTAAAAATGCTTAGTAATCATATCTTTGCTATGTACATTCTTTTTTTGCACTGGCTTATTTTTAAAATCAGACTCCTGGGAGTGTTTGTGTAAAAGAACAGAGAAATTCTAAGCAGTGAAGGGACAGAAGGAGACAAGTAAATACAACTTTACTTGGGGACAGAATCGAATGTGAATGTGTCAGTCTTATGCCATACCACAGAGCAGTTTTGAAATCTAGCAGGTGAAATTTTTAATGTGGTTAATACTTAATAATCTTTTTTTAATACTGCATTAAGTTGTTTATCGTATTTGATGCCTGGAGAAACTTACGCAACTTATATAAGATGTTATTTTTAAGTAATCCCTACACCCAAGGTGGCCTTGAACTCAACCCCAAGGTCAAGAGTCAGACACTCCACCAACTGAGCTAGCCAGGCACAACCCCTTTCAAAAAAATTTTTTAACTAAAAAGTTTAATTGATTTTTTTAAAGATTTTTAAATTATTATTTATTTATTTGACAGACAGAGATCACAAGTAGGCAGAGAGGCAGGCAGAGAGAGAGTAGGAAGCAGACTCCCCGCCAAGCAGAGAGTCCAACGCGGGACCCTAGGATCATGACCTGAGCCGAAGGCAGAGGCTTTAACCCACTGAGCCACCCAGGCACCCCTAATTGATTTATTTTTTAATTGAAGTGTAGCTGACATTCAATATTATGTTAGTTTCAGGTGGAAAACAGATATTCACTGTTTACCGTCTGTCACCATACAAAGTTACCACAATATTATTGGCTATGCTATACTTTTCATTCTCAGAATTTACTTAGTTTACAACTGGCAGCCTGTACCTCTTAATCCCGATCACCTGTTTTACCCATCACCACTTACCATGATGAGCACTAGGTAATGTATATTTTTCAGATCACCACGTTGTACACCTGAATTATACTTCAATTTAAGGGAAAAAAAAGGACTTACCTGTATTTCTCTACTTACTTTCCGATCTCATTTTTTAATATGACAGTATTGTTTCTATAGCTAATGCAACATTTTCTCAGGTCTTCTAAAGGCTATAGTAAGAACCACCTAAATGTAACAAGGTGACTGGATCAGTTTTGGAGAAGATTTGGAGAAAAAATTGAAGCGAAAGAAATTTAGTCTTAATATTACACAATACAAGACTTTCTCCTCCTTTTATCTCATTAATATGTATTTTATTCATCTCAACAAGGTAGAATTTGGCATACAAATTCAGTTTTTAATTGACTATTCAGAACTTTCAGTGCTGTGAAAACAGCATGTATATTTCTGTGGTTATAGTATTCCATTTTTTATTCATTTTTGGCAGATAAAATAACACAAGAAGATATTGAAGGCATTCTACAGAAATTTACTGGGAATATAATGCAAGTACCTCCCCTGTAAGTTCAATTATTGAATTTGGATAAATGTTTAATTTTTATTTTTCAGTGATTAATATCACTTTAATGAGAAAAAAAGGGGGGCTTCCTTTTATGTATAATGAGGCACCTTTTGATCTGACATAACATATGATCAAGTAAAGGTGAGCCTGATTTAGACAAGTTACAGAGCTTCCAGCACTCTGAGGTAGTGGAATGTGGTTTCCTCTGTCTCTGGGTGTTGCCACAGCCTGACATCGATGCTATTCCAGAGTTTATCGGTCTTTCTGATTCCACCTGTATACCTCAGGGCAGTTCTGGAGTGCAGAGCTGCCGGTTTTCCCAGAGTTGCTGTGAAGGGACCAGTCCAGGAGACTACTGGTCTCAGCTATGATTCATAGTCCAGTTAGTACTTTTTTCAGGTGTGGGGACCATTCTTTTAGGCCCAGAATCTGCTTCACAAATCTCTGCAACAGATGAAACAGATGAGAGTTATAATATATTAAAAGTATAAGAATAGGGTCACCTGGGTGGCTCAGTGGGTTAAGCCTCTGCCTTTGGCTCAGGTCATGATCCCAGGGTCCTGAGATCGAGCCTCGCATTGGGCTCTCTGCTCAGTGGGGAGCCTGCTTCCTCCCCTCTTTCTCTCTCTGCCTGCCTCTCTACCTGAGATCTCTGTCAAATAAATAAATAAAATCTTTAAAAAAAAAAACAAAAGTATAAGAATATTGAGTACCACTTAACCATATTTTTTGTGCACATTACCATTTCAAGCGAATTGCTTTTTATTTAAAAAAAAAAATGGCTGAATCATGTGTCTGGAGGTGACTGACAGTTCTTTTAGAATTTAATATTTTATTTATACATATATTATTTATATATAAAAATTAATTAATTAATTAATATAGTAGGCTCTGTGCCCAACATGGAGCCCAATGTGGGGCTTGAACTCCACGACCCTGAGATCAAGACCTGAGCTGAATACTTAACTGACTAACCCACCCAGGCATCCCTAGAATTTAGTATTTATGTTTTACTTTAATATCTTGATTTTTTTTCAAGAACACTGAAATATCTATAGGGAAATGTGTCTTCATAATTTTGCCTCAAATGAAGGTTTTAAAAATTTTGCAAGCTATGAATAAATGTTATTTTTTGATCATTATTGTTAACATGAACGTTTATATCTATTTATAAGAGCAGTTTTAGAAATTTTTTCTCTGTTGATTATTCCAAGTATTTTGTGATCTAATAAAATTTTATCACACAAAGCTTAAGATCTATTAAGTAGATTTGCATTTTAGAAATATTTTATTAAATTTTATGTGAAAATGAATATTATTGTAATGGAAGTTGTTTAAAGGAAATACAGTAGAGAATACTGTGACCAGAGTCCTCGTGCCCTTAACCCAGAACCAGGACCAGTGAACACGTGATCAGACCATCTCCAGAGAGAAGGTTAAAGTGTAAAATTGACAGTACTGTTCACTGGGAGCAGACTGAGCTTAGCTTTAAAGCTATTTAGGAACTCCGTCTCTGGCGCCATCATGGAGTAGATTAGAAGAAAAAAATAGTTCATGTCCTAGAAAGATTCAATTTAAGGGCTTCTGGTCCTCCTTTCTTTCCATGCTGTAATGTGGAGTTATTCTCTGTCATTCTATCTTAATCTTTTCTCTCTCCTTCACTCCCTCTCTTCCTCTCTTATCTTGCAAGCTATTCTGCATTAAAGAAAGATGGACAGAGACTTTCAACCTTAATGAAGAGAGGCGAAGTAGTAGAAGCAAAACCCGCCAGGCCTGTTACCGTATACAGCCTCTCCCTTCAAAAATTCCAGCCACCATTTTTCACATTAGGTAAGGTGGGAAATTTGAAATCATTTGTAGTTACATGTACCTTTATTCTGCATTTGGCTACTTTTGGGTAATTTAATTTAATTTAATCCTAGGATATTGGAGATTTTTAAAAATTTGAAGTTAAGTAAGGTTAGGATTTATTAATACCTTTCTATTTAATGAAAAAACTGATTGCTACATGGAAGTTTAGAAATACTTTTCTAAATAGGCTGAGTTTTTTATGTATCACACTGTCTTCTGAAGTTGGAAGTAACATACCTTTGATCTCTAATGGCAAAGCGTAGATAAGGGGTATATGCTTTCAAAATTTTATATTTTGTGTTTTATTATCTTATGGATGCTTGTTCCCCCATTTTGGCTAGTACCTGGTAGTTTACATTCAGTTTTAAAATTTAAATTGCCCTTATAAAACAAAGCATTTTCAGTTTTTGGACAAGAAACTCTAAGAGCGGAGTGATTATTTCTTCCCTTTCTACGTTACCTGCAAGTTACTGCTAAGGATCCTGACGATATGGAAATAATGGGTAAGGCAAAAATGTATTCTTGGACATGCAGTAAACTTTAATTCAGGTTATTAATTTGAATTTATCTATAAATCTATATTTGAAATAAATTTAAAAACCAAAAAGTTTGTTTCTGTGGTTTGGAAATTTTATGATCTCCTAGTTGCAGAAAGTAGTAGCTCAAGTCATGAACATGTATTTGAACTGTGAAGAATTAAAAGCTGTAGTTTTTCTAAATTAGGCTTCCTTAAACTGATCCTGCTCTTAATTTCACAATGCCTACTAAATAGAATTCCCTTTAGAAATAATTTCCTAAAACTTTTTTTCCCCTAACTTCAGTTGCTTTGACATTCTACTTAATGTATATAAAGTTCCTATGGAATGTGGTCTTTGTACAGTCAAAAAATTAAGTCACTTCTTTCCTTTTAGTGTCCTGACTCTAAAATGTTTAACAAATAATGAGAAAAATATACTAAAAAATATTTCATTCCATGAAAATGCAGTAGCTCTGTTGGCACAGTAGATATTATCTCTGAAAGGAAGAGAAATTGGAATTTTTCTGATTGCATTTAAGTTGTAAATACCTATTTTTTCACTTGAAGGTTATGGTAAGGCCCCAAAGAGCTATCTTTTCACCAAAGTCAAATATAGTGCAAGAATGTTTATATACCTGCTTTGATCCCAGTGGTCATTTTTTATCTCATCCATGGCCCCCAGCCTTGAGCTGATGGGGGGAAAAAAGAATTAAAATCCCCAGGTAGTGAGTTCTGGTTAATTCCCTCAAGTGGCTTTTTTTGTGTGATAAGACTATAAGCAGCAGGAGTATAGTTCTTTTTTGTGGAAATTCAGGATATCTTGTGGATGAATAAAAATAATCCAGAGTCTTGCTCTTAACCAGTAAATGTGTAATATTCTGTGTGAAGATGTTTAGATATGCATTCATTCTGGAACATTGTGTAATTTTAGTTATTTTATGATTTCTTTAGGAATATTTCCAAGAGAACATTTAAATAGACTGAGCTCTCAATGTAGTGTATTTTCCCAAACATAATTACTGTCCCTGATAAGGGATTTTGTTTGATGTATTTGTTGAGTGTGTAAATCTGAAAATATCATAAAAATCTACAGCTCTTGATAGCAAAGCTGAGATGTCCAACTATTTAAAACCAATTAAGTGAACAAGGTGTACAAATCTGAAAATATTTTTTATATGTACAGCTCATAATAGCAAAGCTGAGATTTCCAAACTATTTAAAACCTATTAAATGAACAAGGCTGTAGTATTAACGTTGGTGTGACTTGCCAGTTAATTTAAAATGTGTTCATGAGTTTCTGCTGTTTGCTTTCTCTACACTCCGACTTTTCAATCTCACAAACACATATGCTATTGGATGAATAATTTATGTTTCAGCACATAAATATTTTATCACTTGATTGTTTGCATAGTGCATTTTTACATTTGTTTGGGGGCATCATTTCTATGTAAAGTGGATTTCGTAGGAGGTTAGCAATTTACCATGTCACTGTTAACATTCCAGATGTTGAATGTGGAGGAGGTTTTTATATCAGAAGCTTGGTCAGTGACATTGGCAAAGGTAAGCATAAAGATGAATTATGAATTATCATTTAGAGAGTAATATTCTTTTTTGATGGGAAGAGGGAATTTTCTATTTTTCATATCTCTGAGTGCTGGCCTTAGGGAACTGTACTCTTGCTGCCTTCAGCTTCAGAAGCACTGAAGGTTTATGGCGTACAATTATCAGCGTACCAGCTGCCGTGAAATGCTTGTAATAGAAGAGAAAGAGAGGAGCAGGAGATGAAGATGGGAATAATCAGTGTAAGAACCAACATTATTTCAGATATATTTTAACGCAAAGGGATAAGATGAAAAGATTTATCCTTCTAAAAGGTACTTTCATTGATATAAGTAAAAAAAATTTTTTAAAACCGGGAGCCACAGTCTTGCAAACAGCTAGAAGGCTGCAATTCCAGCTCTGCCATTTGCTGGCAGCTGTGGCACTGGACAGGCCAGATTACGTCATCTGCAGATGAGAGTAATGGTTACCTCATGGGCTTGCTTCATGGCTAAATAAGAAAAGTATGTGCCAGTTCCTCATAGACTGTAAAGCAGTGCTAAGGTGAGTTACTAAAGATTATTTTGCTACTTTATCATTTGTTAATCTCAAAGCTCTTGGTTCTTAGATTAGATTATTACAGTTTTACATGTGGGATGGTTTGGAGAGGTTTGAATCAAGATTTTCTGTCATTTGAACCTCATCATGACTATGAAATACTGAATCATTTCCCCTGTGGATTTTCTTTTCCCCTTTTGTTGCTATAGAACTCTCTTCCTGTGCCAATGTCCTAGAGCTGACCCGAACCAAACAGGGACCATTTACACTAGAAGAGCATGCCCTTCCCGAAGACAAATGGACGATTGATGACATTGCACAGTCTCTGGAACATTGCTCATCACTTTTCCCAGCAGAGCTGGCACTTAAGAAATCAAAACCTGAGGAGTCTAATGAACAAGTTTTGAGCTGTGAATATATAACTCTGAGTGAGACAAAGGGAGAAGATGATGTAATTAAGACATCTTAAGATTGGTTTGGGATTGTCATCATTTCTTGGTTGACATTTGAATCCTGTGTGCAGAATGACAAGCTACGTGCAAAAGACAATTATTTCTCCCCCTGTCCCCTGCATGATTTTTTTGTGTGTGAAGAAAAACGTCCATCATTTACAGTTTCTGTCGTGTACACTTTATCTGCTCATTATAAATAGGCTTGCGATTCGTTGTTCGGTTCTTTGCTTTACTACGAAGTGTTCTTTCAGGATGTTACTATGTTGTTAGATTGGATTTAGGAAAATCAAATCTTCTGATTTTGATCTTTCTTCAAAGTCTTTTCCCAGAAAAAGTTGAGCACATACTCTAATCAAAGAAAAAGGAAACTCGAGCTACGTGTCTCTTTGGTGTCACAAAAATGTATGTAAATTAGTGTTACTTTGACTTTATTTTGGCTTTCTAGTGGCTCTGTTGTATTGAATTCCTTATGTTTGAAAAGGCCGTTATTTAACTCATGTTTTGAAGTTTACAGTTATTGAGAACATTTATTTGATAAGGCTGTACTACCCGGTAATAGGTATGTTTGTTTAGATCTCAGAAACTAATAAACTTTTATAATAAATATTTGTAACTAGATTATTGCTGCTACCACTAACAGAATGTAAATAGGAGACTAAAGATTTAATTAGATTCACCTCTACTATGAGTGGAAAGGACAGCCCTGTGGCTTATATTTTGGCAGCCATGTGATCTTTTCCTGATGATTTCATCAAGATCGTAAACCAGCCTGTACCAAGTTATTAAGTAACATAATTTTTTAAAAGTAAGCTAAAGAATGTGTCTTCAGTTTAGAATTTCTTTTCTCTATTTTTTAGTATTTATACCTATACAGGGCATGAATCCCCATGACACTGGTTTTTGGTTTTTCTTTTCTTTCTTTTTTTTTTTTTTAGTTTGCTGTTTCAAATTACATTTGTAGATGTTGAGGTAGTTGCTCTGAATTTCCGGTTACTCTCTTCTGCTCTAAATATTTTAAAAACAGCTATTCTCATTTTCTTTTTCTTTTTAAAGATCATATTCATTTATTTATTTGAGAGGGAGAGAGAGAGCTCAAGCACAAGACAGGGAAGAAAGAGGGAGAAGCAGTCTCCCTGCTCATCCCCGATGTGATGCGGGGCTCCATCCCAGGACCCTGGGACCACGACCTGATCCGAAGGTAGATGCTCAACCAACTGAGCCACCTAGGCGCCTCTCAGACATTTTCCTTCAAATAGCTTACTGAAGTTCCAGGTCCGTTTTTAACATAATTTTAAAAACATAGTCATGTTATAAAATAGCAAATTTCATATATAATGAGTGCTTTATATTTTTGTTATGGGAAAGCAATATATTATGTGGCCAGTCTTCAGAGATGTCCAAATCCTGTTTCACTGATTCAGATAAATATAGTTTCTAAAGGAAGAATAGTTGGAAATTTCATAAATAGGCGTTTCTAGGTTTTTATGGAATGCTTTTCTTTTTAAAGTTGTCGCAACCACTAACTCAAAAATTTAAACATGTAAACTAATGTGATTTTATTTGTAGTTAGTCTAATATAAATTCAATATAAAAAGTTATATGCCTCAGCAGAGCATTTTCATCATATTGGCAATTGGTATTTTATTTATTTATTTTTATTTATTTATTTTTTTAAGTAGGCTCCATGCTGGGAGCGGGGTAGGCTCCAATATGGTGCTTGAACTCACAACCCTGAGATCAAGACCTGAGCTGAGGTCGAGAGTCGGACACTTCACTGACTGAGCCACCCAGGTACCCCGCAGCAATGTATTTCAAATGAAAATATTAAAACTAATTCTAAGTATGTACAAACACACAAAACTATAAGGAAAAGAGTTTGCTCTCCTGATGCAGTAACGTAAGATACCAAACACACAAGGTTATAAGTTGAAAGTTTACAATTTTACTTACTCACATCTCATGCCCTGCCGTCCGTATCAGCCGCAGGTGGCAGTGTTGGCCTCCGGCCTGCTGGAACCGCGGGGCTTCCAGGATTTCTTTCCGCAGTGTCAAATAGAGGAAAATTCCGGTTTTAGAGAATGATGGGGGTTTGTGTCCTCTTTCTCGACTTAAAAACTGACATGTCATTTACTAGTGAAGAGTAGAGATTATATCTTTTTTTTGAAAATACTGAAGGAAGTTTTGCCAAATGGAAAAGTGACCAACGGGTCCTCACCATCCTGATGCAGTGACCTCAGAGCTTTAATTTTGTATTCCTGTTTCCCTGTTTTTTTGTTGATGTGATCACAGTCTTGATACCTAGATTTTCTAATTGACTATTTTTTCATTTCATGATAATCAGACTCTATTTGTATTTAGTTTTTATTAATCATATTACTTCGTATTGAGTTTATTTAAGCCATCTCCTTATTGCTGAACACTTACTTGCAATTTTATTAGGATCAATTCCTGGGAATGGGATTATTAAGTGGAATAATAAGAACAGTTTTATGGCTCTTAGTATGTTTGCCTTATTACTTTCCCAATGAGTTACAACATTTTACAGTGGCACCATTTGAGTATATCAGTTCATTAAAAGTTTACAGCTTTGGATAGGGGTTTTATATATATTGTTGCTAATTTAGTAGGTATAAAAGTTCAAAATTGCTCTTATTTGCTTTTTTGTGACTTTTTCGTATACTCTGTTCATTTTAGAAATAAATGTCTTAATGGTTTATACATTTGTATGAGTTATGTATGTAGTAAATAACTTGGTAGAAGTATTTTCATGGCCTGTTGTCTTTTTAATTTTCATTTCATTTTTCATTTTTCCTATATTTGCTAATTAATTTTAGTAACTATTCCCCTTATGTAGTTGTCAAATTTATGATATAAATAGTTAAAATTTTTTAACTTTAAAATATTCTTAACTGTCATAAACAGCTGAAACTGATCAAGGTCCTCTGAAAGGTTCAAGACTCATGGATAAATTTGTTTTCTTCTGAGAGTCTAGCATTTACGTACCAGCTGTTTTGTTTTTTTCATTATGTAGTTCTAGGCCTAAAGTTTAGTGATACGATAAAGTTCTTTTAAGTAAAAGGACTTCCTGGAAATGTTTTAACCTGGAACATACCAAAGTACTTAATTTTTACACTTTAGATTTTTTTATTTCTGAAAAATATTTTGTCTTAGAAGTCATCAAAGGTGGTCCTAGGATTATTTTACTTATGATTTTCAAATTTTTGAACTTTAGAATAATATAGATTTTACTCTCTGCTAATTCAAAGTGATAAAATTTGAATAAGGGCTAAACTCACATTTTCCTATACTGACTAAATCTTTTCTTCTTAAATACTTGAATTAATACAAGCTATTAATCCATCATCAGAAATGATTTTGTAAAATAAAATAAAGAGTGCTTTATATCAGGTCTTCAGTACATTTTATACTCCTGACCAGTTTGAAATTTGTATCAGACTTACAGTGGGCACTTAGAGGTTCATTTCGATTGTGAGTTGTTCTATTTCAAAGGAAGAAAGTAATTTACCTTCTGTCATTATGTATATAATAGAGAAAATGTAATTCAAAAAGCACTCTAAAATGTTGAAAAATTTAAATAGGAGGCTATAATAGATAGTTTATGTATTGAAATCATTGTGATGGCCTTTGTGACGGTCAAATCTGTAGAAGACTTGTCTTAAAACTATTTCTTTACACTATGTGTGGGCAGCCCTGGTCTGGCCTAATCATTAAGTATCATTCGTTAAATACTTATTATGTGGTGTTTGAATCAGTAATGCCTTCGTATCTTCAGTTTGAGTTAAATTCTATGAACGGGAATATTTCGGATTGCTGTTGTAAATGGTGATACCAGCAGGAAAGTTAAAGTCAGAAATAACTATATCTTCTTATCCATGACTCTTAAGATATATTAAGATCACTTCTTTACCTATTATTAATCAGCTTTTTGATCAGGCAAATCACTTCAATCTTTTGGGGCCTCCATTTTCTTATCTTTGAAACAAAAGGATGGACTTGTCTAAGAATTTCCCTTGCTCTGAAATAGTAGGCTTCTGAGTCCAAAATAAATGTGTATTTATTCTGTTCAGAAACTCATTCCTTGTAACCTGAATTTTCATGTTGTTCATCAAATTCTCACCCTTCGTCTCTTTGAATACTGCATCTCTTCCATCCTTTTGTCCGATTAGATTATGTCTTGTCTTCTCATTTTGTTTTATGTATCTAATTACTCTTATATTTTCTATCTCTATCCCTCTGTGCTGGAGCTTGGGGGATTTCCCGGAATCTTTTCTAGAAAATGAATTCCTTCTGCCATTTTAGTTTACTCTTTACCTATATATTCATTTTAATGATTATTGTGTTTTTAGAAAAGTTCCAGAATATCACCCTTTTCCCAAAATGCCTCTTGTGTGTTATCTTGTTGTTTCCTCAGATTTTAGTTTAAATATATATATATATATATATATATGTTTAAATATAGTTTCAATATGTGTTTTTTTTTACTTTAACTGATCATATCTATATGGTAAATTGCATATACCATAAATGTATAGACTGATGAATTTCCAAAAAGCAGACACATGTGTAACCAGCAACCAAATCAAGAAACAGGATGTTTCTAGTCCACCAAAAGCCCTCCAAAGTTCTCTTCCAGTCACTGCCACTGACCCTCACCCTACCACCAAGGATAATCACTTCTAACATAGCTTATTAATTTGCTTTCATGATTTATATAAACAGCGTGTAATATATACTCTTTGATGTCTGACTTCTTTTGCTCAAGATTACAGTGAGGAGATTCTGCCATCTTGTTGCCTATGGTTGTAAGTTACTCATTCTCATTATTGTTCAGTATTCCATTATGTGAATAGACCACCCTTTATTGATTCTACTGAATGATGGGCATTTGATGAGCTTTCAGCTTTGAGTATTTTTTTTAGTATTCCATTATATTTCATTCTGTCTCATTTTTGGCTTATTCTACCCATTTTAAAAATGTCTTAGCGTTTGCTGGAGTATTTGTGAGATACAGCTTCAGTTTATCACAAATTATCTTCATTATACCACCTCATATGTGGAAACTTTGCAATATAACTATCCATTTCCTATCTCCTATCTTTTGTGCCTTTTTCATACATCTTACTTAAACATATGATATAAACCCTATAATATATTGGGCTTTTATTTTTGTTGTTTTTTGCTTTTACTTTATGTGGTTCAGCAAATTTTTCTGTAAAAAATGCGATTATAAATATTTTAGAGTTGGCAGGTATATGGTTCCTCTTGCAGCTACTCACTTTTGCTGCTGTAGCATGAAAGCAGCCATAGACAGTACATACAAATGCATGGGTGTGGTTATGTTCCAGTAAAATAACATTTACCCTGATGCTGTAGCTTACTGACCCCTGCTTTAGACTTACAGTCATCTTCAAGAGATTAAAAAAAAAAACTTTCCTATTTCTCTATATCCTAATGTTCTTCATTTTTCTTATATAGAACCAAATTTCTACTGCTATCATACTTCTTCCTCCTGAGTAACTTCCTTTAATATCTTTTATTTTTTTTTGAAGACTTTATTTATTGAGAGAAAGAGAGAGCATGTGAGCAGGGGGCGGGGCAAAGGGAGCAGGAGAAAGAATCCCAAGCAGATTCCCCACTGAGTGTGGAGCCCAATGCAGGGTTCGATCTCAGGACCCTGAGATCATGACCTGAGCTAATATCGAGAGTCAGACACTTAACTGACTGAGCCACCCAGATGCCCTAATATCTCTTTTAACACAGGTCTGACAGCAATGAATTCTCTCAGCTTTTGACTGAACAATGTTTATTTCACCTACATTTTTTAAAGCTATTTTTGCTGGGTATGTAAATCTGGGCTGGTTAACCTTTTATTTTTTTTCAGTCAGCACTTTAATGATGTCATTTAATTATCTTCTGACTTACGTAGTTTCTCCGGCTGCCTACAAGGTTTTATTTTTTGTTTGACTCTGATACGTCTAGGTGTGGTTTTCTTTG